AACTACAACTCAATTAGAAAAATAAGCAAAGGATATCAAAAAGCAATTTACAGAAACACAAACACAAAGTCAATAAACATACCAAAATATGATCATCTTCATACATGCTTAATGATATACAAATTAAAATGATAACAATTTCCAACTTTAAAATAGGTAAAAATTAATAAGTTTGATAATGTCCATATAAGACCTCTACCATTTCCCACTAAAAAGAACTAGGATTTCTTGCGGAGATGGCCAATTCTAAGTCTGTAGTAGAAAGTTACCCATTGAGACCAGAACAGCTCGTCCACCAGAAAGCAAAGAATGACTAGTGAGGTACTGTCAAAAAGACATGGGGCCAACCTGAAGGGGCTCCTACTGACCAAAAATGGGACTTTTTGAGCATGATAAAGAGTAAACACAACAATACTTAAATCTAAAAATTCATGACAAACTTAAAAACAAAAGAATTATCAATCGCCACCTTTGGACATTCCTAGGATACCAACTCACCATCAAATTGGTAAAGGGGGAAAAAATTAAATATTTATCTACCTCTCCTTTATGAGCTGTACACCAGGGTAACTAAGTACTTGATGAAGTCCTCTATAGAAAAATTCCAATTAACAAATGCAGAAAGAACAACAGAATAACACCATTTCTCTAAAGAGTGATCCCTCTGTCACAGAAGAAAAGGAATGTGAAGACAATATACTTCAGGATTGTGGAATTTTTTTTTTTAAATAATAAACTTTCTATTATTCATAAATAAATAAAAAAAATACTGAATTACCCTTCCTATTACAATTACCATCACTGGCTCATTGGCAAATTAATATTGTTTAATCCTGTTTATCACCCTTTCTGTCGCTAATTACAACAAAACAAAACAAAAAATCCGTAACAAATATGTCAAATAGCCTTTTTTTCTATAAGCAAGGTTCTAGCCCCCCAATGACTGCTATTTTCTAACAGAAATCACATTACTAATCACTACCATTAACCAACCAAAAATCCAAATCTGTTGTCATCGAGTTGATTCCAACTCATAGTGATCCCATAGGATAGAGCAGAACTGCTCCATAGAGTTTCCAAGGAGAGACTGGTGGATTCGAACTGCCAACCTTTTTTTGGTTAGCAGCCAAGCTCTTAACCACTGCACCAGC